ACACATCTTGCAGCTGATGAAATATATGCGATTGTCCGACAGGACATTTTCCCTTATAATTTTCTGTAATTGGGCTGTTAAAACTGTCTGTGTTAAAGATGTGCTTACAGAGAAGATATCTTCTGTCAGAACCAGTAAGGTTATGAGTTGTCCATCCTTGTTCTTACTACCATAGGTGGCAGGGGATAGTTTCGTACTAAAGACCCGGTCAAATTTCTTAAAAAATTGAGATATCCCCTGTTTGATGTGATATTTTATGTAGAAAAATGATTAGAATAATTATGGGACACATTTGCAGTGTAGCAGAGTGCTTGCTGAAAAAAATGATGTGCAACATGTAGGTGTCACTATGATGCTTATCATATACAGAGTTGTAAATGCGAAACTAAGACACGTGGTCAGTTGCAGAGGAAATTCAGCTGAAAAGCAGTAGGCCTTAGAAGAAGGTGTGTATCTCAGAGGGAAGGTGAATGACCCCATATCAATTGGTGAATTTTTATTAGGGCTTGCATTGATTTACAGACTACTGGGTGTTTTATCCTGCTCGCTCGGGCCTGGGGGTGGGTTGTATGGGTGTGAATGAGGCCCAAATCTTGGAAAAACAAGCCAAAATTTGGGGAGTCCCCAGGTGCATTTTTGGTACATGTGCACTCTAATACGCAGATTACATGTAATTTGTTGACATAATTTGTGAGCCATGGGCATATGAAGTGTAATTAATTAGCCCCTGGAAAACTGTCCCCATGTACATGTTTTTATGGATCGCATGTATATGTGTACCCCCTCGGCACATGTTTGGCATTAAAAAAACTATCCCCTGCTACCTTCAAGAAAACACCAATTTTCAGAAATATGTAATTTAGTCTAATTCTTCTCTAAATAAGTTTATTGATGCATGCCATTTTCAAAACTCACCATATTTCTTTCATTTGACTCTTATTCATTTAGGTAGAGAGACCTAAACACAAGGGGGGTAAACCTTTTCCAGTACACATTTTCAAAGAGTTTGAAGCATCAGCATAACAAATCTTAACAGAGTAAGGCAATTTTTTTCTGAGAAAAATTTATTTGCTTGAAAATAATAGTTTGGGCACTGTCACATATATTTTATCAAATTTTGATGCAATTATTTAGTAGTAATTAAAATTAAAGGGGCTTAATTATTGCGATATCACTGAAATTACATAAATTTACTCTTTTTTACATGTATTTCACTAAATATCATTATTTAGAAAAAAGAATGAGTCAGTATGCAAAAATATCAGTTCACAGAACCACATTTATTGAAAGAATTGCTGTACTTTAATTTTTTTTTCAAAATAGACCCATTTTACTATTGATGATTACATAAAAAAAATACCCCCTCCCCTTCATTTTCCCCCTCATTTGTCTTCTATAATGTGATAGAACTTAAACTTTTCATTATTTTCATATAGATTATATATATTTCTTTAAATTAGAACAAAACAAATGGTCTTTTTGCATATTTAATGGACAAAATATCAAAAATATGTACATTTTCATGTAATTATTGGATTCTACTAAGCACCTGAAATTTACTCACAAATGCCAAGTAAGGACAGGATGATCACTTTAAATATTCAGGGGAATCAAATGCATGTATTTGATCATTCAGATATGTTGAAATTGAATGAAATATACTCAGAAAAAAGGACAGTCAGGAAAATCAGATTTCCACAGTATATTTTCAATAGAATCAGGTAATGGTTGGAGGGGTAGGGTAGATAACTGCAATTTCCAGGACACTTCTTCTTGAACCTTTGATGCAGGAGGGGTTTTTTGTATATTACAATAAATATCCTGAAAAATAAATTAGGTTTTCTTTTTGCAAACAAGCTGTAGATGTATAAATTCAAGCAATTAAGAGGTAAAATGGGATTTCTCAAAACATCAAAAATAGGAGAGTATGTGTTACATGTGAATACATTTCATCAAGGCATGCAATTCTTATTGAGTTTTTTTATATGTAGCTGCATTTGAAATTGATCAAAGTTACCATTAAACACTGTTTTGATAAGAAATAGTTTCTTTTGGATTGTAGGAGTTGGTCATTTTTGAAGTAACACAAAGAATATGGGGTTAAGGTGGTTGACCGACAATTGGTGGGGTCACTTATTTGCCTCTAACTTTTTTATTTTTCATTGAAATAAGACATATTTAGTATATTTATACTCAGAATTGATTGCACTTTCTAAATATGGAAAGTTATTTTAATTGAAAAGCAAACTTTGAAAGTTAAAGGTGGCAGGGGATAGTTTCGTACTAAAGACCCGGTCAAATTTCTTAAAAAATTGAGATATCCCCTGTTTGATGTGATATTTTATGTAGAAAAATGATTAGAATAATTATGGGACACATTTGCAGTGTAGCAGAGTGCTTGCTGAAAAAAATGATGTGCAACATGTAGGTGTCACTATGATGCTTATCATATACAGAGTTGTAAATGCGAAACTAAGACACGTGGTCAGTTGCAGAGGAAATTCAGCTGAAAAGCAGTAGGCCTTAGAAGAAGGTGTGTATCTCAGAGGGAAGGTGAATGACCCCATATCAATTGGTGAATTTTTATTAGGGCTTGCATTGATTTACAGACTACTGGGTGTTTTATCCTGCTCGCTCGGGCCTGGGGGTGGGTTGTATGGGTGTGAATGAGGCCCAAATCTTGGAAAAACAAGCCAAAATTTGGGGAGTCCCCAGGTGCATTTTTGGTACATGTGCACTCTAATACGCAGATTACATGTAATTTGTTGACATAATTTGTGAGCCATGGGCATATGAAGTGTAATTAATTAGCCCCTGGAAAACTGTCCCCATGTACATGTTTTTATGGATCGCATGTATATGTGTACCCCCTCGGCACATGTTTGGCATTAAAAAAACTATCCCCTGCTACCATATCCTTCAAGTTCTTTGGGCGGCTGTAGGTAGCCAATCGAGGTTCCCTGAATCAAATTATGGTATTCTAATTCTTCACAATGTACGGGAGTATCGGTAATTCGTGAATCAAAGTAGCTGACCTAAGATTACACCTTAACATTAGGGGTGATAAGGCATTCCCTATCTAATACACGTTCTCTATGGATTACAAACTATTCCCAAAGTTCTTGACTCTGCTAATTCACATCCACTGGCCGAAAGGTACTCTGTTTTATATAGTCCTGTCCATTAAGAATAATTATAATAAGTATTTTGTCAAGTGACATATTTATTTCTTTATTTATTTAAACACAAACGGTGCATATACATTTATATCTATCTATATCTACAAGTACAAATAAAGGTGTACACAGTCAACGACAACATTTAAAACTGAAAAGTGTGGGGAAAAGTCAGTTTGAACCGAGAAAGTTTCGATTACTATGTTATCCTATTGACAAACCTTCTTTGAACCAAAATCAAATTGTTGTGAATATATTTCACTAACAAAAACTCAACTAGGACACTACCTGAGGTTCAAATTAGCTGTGCTGACTAAAGTCTGTATTCTTAAATAAACCAACACTCATCAAAGATTTAGTTTCATACACATATGTTTTATATACATTACAGTCAAATTTGTTCAAATCATTGCACCTTCGAGTACGGATGCAAAAATTATTGGAGTTCCAAGATTTGCAAATTATTATCACGAAGAAGAGGACTGGTATTAAGAAATTATTAAAACCGAATTCCCGGAACAATGTTGGCGTCACATTATGGTTCTGTGTTTTACAATTCTATCGAAATTCTACTAAAGATTTTAAACTTTCATCAAGAATATGAAACCTTCATTTTCTCAAAGTGCATGTGCATTCAATTTTTTGTTGAAGGTTTCAAAGATGCATTGAGAAATGCACTGGGACATGATTTCTTTAAAAGAACAGCATTACTATATTTCATTACATAAAATCTGAATGCATGAGTTTGACATGAAGAACCAAGTTTGCCCAATTTGAAAAGAGCAACAGACAGATCACATCAAAAGATTCAATGTGTTTATAATAGGAAAACTGAGAAGATACTTCAGCTTAGTTAAGTTTCATTACAGATTAATTAGTCTCTAATAGTAGTGCGACTAAAATGAGCATTATTATCCTTTTTTTTTTTTGGAAAATGTAACTATGAATGACAGGAATCTAGAAAACGAAACGATGATCTATATATAGTCAAAGCACAGGCATAAAACATTTCAGCAAACTGTTTTTGTTTTCAGAATGTTCGTCAGAGTGGCTTGCATGGGGGCCTTGCAGTGTTACCTGTGGAGAAGGTGTTCATACAAGACATATGCACAATTGTCATTTTGTTCAACAGCTTCACTGTGTGCAGACATTAAAGTGTCATATGCAGGGATGTCCTGGTATATAAATTATTATATTTTATCAGACATAAAAGTGTCATATGCAGGGATATCCTGGTATATTAATTATTATATTTTATCAATTAAAGGAAAGACGCTCTGCGGGAATAACATAGTTTAACAAATATATTCCACAATCGTTCTACTGGTTTCAAATAACGTTAATTTGGAATTGAACAGGAAATTCGTATCTTAATATACCTTTTCTTTTCTAAGAGAAGAATAACTCGCTTTTCTTTAAAATTGGAGTCTGATTATATTTCTTAATTCAGCTTTCATTCAGAAAATTTTAAGAGATGGCATTTGAAGTCATGTGGTCAACTACTTTGTTGAAACTTCCATTTATATTAATTTTAAAATAAATTAAGAATTTCATAGAATCATTACCAAACACATGCATGTGTTTGGTAATGATTCTATAAAATACAACCATTATTCTATACATCAAACTGATGCAACATGTAGTTAACTACGTATTTCAATGATTCAAACATGATAAATGAGAGATGAGAGGTTTTTTCAATAACTGTGACTATTCTTTATTGTAATATGCATCGATATGAAATACTAATAAAAATGATTATTCTTTAATCTCAACACTAAGCACTTACGAATATCCCCTGGAAAAAAAATAGTTATGTAACCTATGCAAATAATTCTTATAGATGTCAATGGGGGATGGAGTCACTGGTACTGGAGTCCTTGTTCTGCTACATGTGGGAAAGGAATTATAACAAGAACTCGAACTTGTACACATCCTTCACCAGGAGACAATGGTGCTTACTGCGTCGGTCCTTCGTTGCAGACTTATGAATGCAGTGGTCAACACTGCCCAGGTAATATAAACTAGATATACTTTTACTACAAACAAATGTATATACTGTAAACAACTAATCTATTTTCAGCGCTTATTTGTTTTGCTTTTTTGTCCACAAAATCTTCAAAGTAATTCATGCTTCACATATTTACTAAATATATATAGCTTGAATAATATACAGTTAAAAACAGATCTGAAATTAAAAACTCAATATTATTCAGAGAAGGTGAACAATCATCAGTAAAATCAATTAATATTGCATAAATAGACAAACACTCAAATAATAATTTCACAATCAAGGACCATAAATTGGTAGTAAAGATATATCAATATTCTCGTCTCGTAATGATAACATCTTCAAATATTCTGTCATATACTTCTGATAGCCTGCTACAGTGTAGTAAGTAAAATGTGTGAACTATTTTAAAAAATGTCTGAATGGTTTATCTCTTCTATGAATAAGGTGGAATGATGAAATAGTGGTCAAAGTAATACATGTTGATAGTAAAAAATTATATTTTTAACGCTTTTTAATAAACCGCTTCGAAGTTTATAAAGCGTAAACTGCCCCAACTAAGGTTATACAGTATAACTTGGGCAGGTATTAAATTCATTCTTTCCATGAAAAAAAAATATTGTGATGTTGATGATCCTTTATATTACTTGTTTATGAAAAATTACATTACTTTGTAATGGATGAATAACATTTTCAAAGTGCACGGTACATGGGGCAGTTGGAGTCATTACAGTCAATGTTCAGTAACTTGTGGTGGAGGGACACAGATTCGAACACGTACATGTACTCACCGACATGTGCATGGTGAAGTCTCCTGTCTAGGATTGGCTAATGAAACTCGAAAATGTTCCGAACAACATTGTCCAGGTTGGAATTTTCATTTTAATTTTATGTTACCTTAAAATACTTCCTCAGAAATATTCCTCGTTTGTTTTATGTAAGGTGTAAAAGTTGTATGTATTAAGAACTCAAAAAATTGCTTATAGTTCCGGAATTTGGAACGAAGTCGATTTAAAAGATTTGCCAATATGGAGACATGGTGAGATTATATACGCCTATTTGAATAAGAATTTATTCATTTATTATTAGTTTTTCATATTTATCATCCCTCAAATTGTTAAACACACCAAGATATACTTACTTTTACTGTTAATTGTTGTGGTGTGTAGAGTGTTTTTTCCGGTGTTCATTTGACATATATAATCAAATCTATGTAATGCTTAAATTCTATGCTATGGTGGCGCCTCCTGTCCAGGTCCTTGGATCATAAAACTTCGTTACGCTTGATGTTGATGACGTTTAATATTACGCTTTAATAGCGCAATGGAAGCATTGACATATCGCTTCTTAAAGTGATACTAGCATGACTGGTGCCCTATCGCTATCTCTTTGTACTTGAAATATGAGTAAAAACTCAAAGACTACTTGTAATTAAACCAATGAACAAAAAGGGCACTTTTGGTTTATGTATAATAAAATTTGTCAATTACTCAAACCAGTCCTAAACGCATTTCCGTGCATTACGATGAAGCAAAACGAATTACACGTCAATAACGTGCAATGGACAAATATGTTGAGTCTCCTAAATGTTGCGTAAAATATCATTTAACTGAGTAAATTTATCAATCGGACATTCATTCTGAACGTTTGGGTTAGCACATTATTGACACATAATTAATTGTATAATCGAAAAAAAATAGACTTTAACCCCTCGAAAAACGACAGGATCCACTTCGCAGAAAAGCAAATCAACCTCGCACTTTCTGCTTGGTTGCCATACTTTTCTGATGCGTCGATATATCTACGGAAGAACCTACTGATCATGAAAGAACCATACCTGTATAATACAACGATCTTGCACTTTATATATTCAGTAGCTTATATCATATTCCATTAATTAATACAAAATATAACAAGCTTTATAAAATGATATGCTTCCAGACTTAAACTTAATATGATTTTAAGGAATATAGCGTTAACGTTTAGATTTTCATACCGTGGTCAATGGTGGATGGAGCCATTGGAGTCGTTATGGTCATTGTTCGGTTACGTGTGGGATAGGAGTTAAATCAAGAAATAGAACATGCTCAAATCCTACACCAGCAAAAGGTGGCGCAACGTGTGTTGGTCATTCCTTCGAAACTCAAAGATGCCGTTACCAATACTGTGAAGGTAAGTAAAAAGTCAATTGTTTATTACATGAAGTATCTATTCATATCGGTATATTTTTCAGATTTCAATTAAGGATATTTCCTCTTCAGCCAGAAATGATAACTCTTAAAAATTATTTAATTGAAAAAGTCTAAAAATGAAGCTTGAAATTGAAATCTTTATGCATTTCAATATGATTGAAGGTTTTTATGTGTAAGATATGGACTTGTAAAAAAATTGACATTTGTACCCCCATAAAAGTACAAAAATAAATACATTTTAGACGTGTCGAATTTTCTTTGATCTAGTCTTAGATACCAATGCTAATTAGCATGATATAAAATTAGAAGTGATCTGCGATGTTATGTTTTGCAATGATAGCACAAACTTTTTATTTAAATTTTTCGGATTCCCAACGTTTCGGCATGAGCATTACTGAAGAGACATAATTTGTCGAAATGTGCATCTGGTGCATTAGAATTTGTATCGTATAAGATTTACATTATGACCCCTGGATCGAGGCCTCTGATGGTGGACTGTTAGTCCCCGAGGGTCTCGACAGCCCAGTAGCTAAGTACATCGGTAGTAGCTTGAAAATATGGATCTGTATTTAATTGCTGTGGTTAAATTTAGAAACTTATTTCAAAATTAAGGATTATCTCCCTCATGCATGGCTCTGATCCTTCGACGTATTTGGCTCAAGTCTTTGGCACCCCCATTTTTACAGCTCCTCAATTTTTTTTTAATTTAAATATTTTGGATTCCCTACGTTTCCGTATGAGCATCACTGAAGAGACATAATTTGTCGAAATGTGCATCTGGTGCATCAAAATGGGTACCGTATAAGATTTACAATATAACAGTTTCAGTTAATTAGTTGGAGAACGAACTATAATACCGTAAAAGCAGAAAACTCAATTTTCTCTAAATACTGGTTACCTATATGTTTTATCCTAAAATATATTTGTTGTCCAATTTTCAACTAGAAAAAATATCTAGTGCTTTTATTCGCATTTCCGGAAAATATATTTGAGATATGATAATTTTCCCTAGATAATATGATTAAATAAAGTGAGGAATTTTCAAGAAATAGCATTGGTAAATACACATTACATTCTGAATTTAAGGACATTTTTATGAGCATTTTCAATCACTTAACTGCTGATTTTCAGGAACTGAGGATCTAACTACCTTAATTAGATATTTATAATGAAAAAGTTCCTTAAATGCTTTACGAAAGAGTAACGATTATACATCCTGGGACCAAGATAAGTAAATAATACAGATCAAATGTTTTACTTATGAAAGAATATCTTTTCAAAAATATTCCACTCTAGAGCAAAAGGACAGTAGTGAGCAAATTGCTCTTTTAACACCCTCATGCAGAAAAGATTTTAAGGCTTCATGCACCTCTGGGTAGGGAGAAGCAATAATAAGTGTATGCAATTATTCAAAGGAAATGTTAACGTTTTCATATATATTATATAAGTGTTTTTATATTCTTATGAAGGAGTATTTATTTAAATATTTCTACATGAAAAGAAGAGGTCTCATGCAGTGACCTTCTATTCGATATTCACCGTTCACGTAGCTCAGTCGGTAGAGCGCTCGCTCCGTGATCGGGAGGTCGTGAGTTCGAATCTCGGCCACGGCTGACCTAAGTCGATAAAAAATGGGTAGCAACTGTTCCTTTGCCATGCTCTCGTCTCTTTGAAGTGAAAGTTGCGGGTCCTTCGGGTGAGACTTAAAAAACCGAGGCCCCGTGTCACGGCAGGCGTTGGCACGATAAAGATCCCTCACTGCTCAATGGCCCTGAGTGCCGAGTAAAGTTCAAAACTTGAAGCCCTTCACCGGTATATGGTGACGTCTCTATATGAGTGAAAAATTCTCGAATGGGACGTAAAACAACGTACAATCAATCAATCATCAATCTATTCGATATTAAGGTATATCAACTACGTTTTATTTATTTATAATATTCATCTTTATCGAGGTTGATTCGATATACTCGAAATAAAAAGCATCATGGAGTCTGACAGATCTGTTTCATATTTGGATCTTTTTCTATAGAAAACATTGATAGAAAACACTAAAGATTACGAAAAACATGATAAATACAACTTAAATAGTGCATGGCCGTAGGAACCGGGGGGGGGCACAGGGGGGCTGTGCCCCCCCCCCAGTAATTTTGCCGATATATAGATTACTATAGAAAACATAACTACTATATGCTTGTGCCCCCTCAATAAAAACGTCTGATGACCTTTTTTTTTTTTTTTTTTTTTTTTTTTTTTTTAATTTGCTTGTCAAGGATTTTTGGTAGTTGATAGTGCCCCCTCAACTGAAAATGTATGGCTGTGCCCCCCCCCCCCCCAAACTGAAATTGCTTCCTACGGACCTGCTAGTGTAAATTTCCCTTTTGTAGCTATATATCATTATCATCTACATATGGAGTTTATGTCTCCGAGTTGATTCGATACGCAAGAGCATGTTCTTCGTACGAACAATTTCTATAACGAGGAAAGATACTTACAAATAAGTTGATGATGGAAGATACAAGGATTTCAACAATTTCGTTTAATGTCAACATTTCGCAAATTCTGTGGTCGATACATTGACCTTGTTTGCAAATACAATCTAGATCGAATGTTGACTGACGTCTTTCATAAAAATTGTTAGGGTTTTATTTTAGCACTGAATTGTCTACGGATATTTACGTTTACCCCATTATGACAATGGGCACATGGCGGGTGTAAGTGGTTATCAGGAGATACTTGCTCCTCATGGCACCTGATCCCATCTCTGTTTAAAGAGGTCCATGTTTGCCCTGCTCACGATAAGTATTGTTTAATTGGACTTTTGAGGATGATTACTGTTCGTTATCTTCAGATTTCATTTCTCAAATAATTTATGGAACAATCGTCAGTCTCACAAGGATTAGTTTGATTTTTCCAATCATTTCCCAGCGTCAAATTGAATATACTAAGGAGTGCATAAGAATTAATATTAAAAAAAAACAGAAATTGCCTCAAACATTACCGAGAGGTACGTGGATATAAGATTTAGAAAAGTTATTATTATCATTTTTAAAAGTCATTTTCACGTTTGATAGTTGATGGAGGCTGGAACAGGTGGAGTGCTTTTGGTCATTGCTCAGTGACATGTGGAACAGGAAATAAAACCAGAACAAGGACATGCTCACATCCATTTCCTGCACATGGCGGGGCTAATTGTCAAGGTGTTAACTCTGAGGTTCAAAGCTGCACTGAACAACCTTGTCCAGGTAACCTTTTTGAATATTTTCTTCAGCTATACTGAATTATAAGATAAAAATCTCTTTGATAAATACATCTTATTTAAAAAAAAAACAGAGAAAGAAACAGAGTTTTAAAAAAAACAGAATAACTAAAAACGGCCGTAGTGTATAGTGGTAGGGCGCTGGATTCATGGTCAGGAGGTCCCGGTTTCAATCTCTTTCACGGTGCAGAGTTAAACCTAAGACATAAAATATAGGTAGCAACTGTTCCATGCGCCTGGCATTAGAAGTGAAAGTCAAGGGTGTTTTGGAAATGACACTAAAACGTAGGTCTCGTATCACTGTAGGCGTTGTCAAAATAAAGACCCACTGCTCAATGGCCCTGAGTGTCGAGTATAGGTCTAATATAAATGTGAAGCATGGTGACGCCTCATAGTGAGTGAAAATTCTGGCTAGGTTGGTAAAACAGCAAGCAAGCAATCGGAATAAATAAGATGGTTGTTCATTAATGGAAATAGTAATGATAAATATTCAACATGTTTCAATGAATTCACCACAGAATGGACAAGATAATATAAAGAAGCAAGGCATCAAATCGGCTGATATGCTGGATCTATGCTTTGTGATGATACCGATAATTTGTTCCTTGATTTAACGGAACATCATGAGATCACTTGGCGGCGTGATGGACATCACAATAATTGAGAAGTTTCGGGGGAAACTATCAAACTATTGTCATTTGAAGCTGTAGGATATTTAAAACAAAATTTTCTGGATGTACCTCTGTTTCTTTTCAATTTTTAAGTACTTAATATCATAAAACTTATATTATACACAACCTTTCTGGGGAATATTTCTTGTAAAAACATTGTAAAACTATAGATTCATATCTTAAGAAAAATGAAAAAAAAATGAAGACGTATTAATAATAACAAACGTAAGTCGATAAACCACAGACACCTGACGAATTGACGATGTAAACAGCTTCTGAGAATTTTATTAGACAAAAAACGTATCAAAAATATATGAATTCCTAGTCTACCTTACTTATATTCCGATATCTGATATAATTTTGTTAATTTGTAAAGTTTTAATTTGTCCTTTACGGTATATAGAAATACATAGTAATTCTTAGTAGAAAGGTGATATACTTCTTTACTACTTCTCTGACAATGTGATTTTGCTCAATATAGCGTTAACCTTTAGTTCTTCATACGGTGGTTAATGGTGGATGGAGCCATTGGAGCCGTTTTGGCGAGTGTTCTACTTCGTGTGGGACAGGAATAAGGTCAAGAACTAGAACATGCACACATCCTTCACCCGCTTACGGTGGCACAATATGTGAGGGTCCTTCCACCGAAACTCAAAGATGCCATTTTAACCATTGTCCAGGTAAAAGCAATTCTAGAGTTGTTAAGATGACCTATCTACCTATTCGATAAATGGTGTAAAGGTATGAATTTTTCAGAAGTTGATTAACTAGATATTAGATATATGAAAAGTTTCTTGATTTTTTTTTACGAAATAGTAATGAATCGAAATTTGCGAACCATGATAAAGAAACAAAGTCCCATATTTTACCCTCAAAGAATTAAAAGCAACAGGGATTAATAGGCATGGTATTATCGCCCTTAGGCAATCTAACTTGTATAAACATGCATCCTGAAGTAGCAAAAGGACACAATAAGCATATAAAAATTTACATATAGATAAAGGGTATAATAGAATTTTGAGATATGTTAAAAGGAAGAGTACTTTTAAATTATATATTCAAGTTACTGAAATTCAAATGTGATTTCGTCATGACCCAAATGATAATAATTAATCAGGAAGAAAATCTTCTTAAATCAAGGAACAATCAAGCTCTCTTATGGAGTTAAGTTTGATTTTTCTAACCATTACTTAGGATAACATTGAATGCATAGTATTTCAATAAGGAATGCATAAGGATTGTCTCCAAATTGCTACACAATACTAGGATGAATTAAGGTTAAGAGAAGTTATTAATAAAAAAAGTCATTTTCTATGTTTGAACAGTTGATGGAGGCTGGAGCAGATGGAGTACTTTAAGTGATTGTTCAGTGACGTGTGGACCTGGACATAAGACCAGAACGAGGGCATGCTCACATCCATTTCCTGCACATGGCGGGGCAAATTGTCTAGGTGTGAACTCTGAGGTTCAAAACTGCACTGAAAAGCTATGTCCAGGTAACCTTTCTATATACATGTACTTTGCTTTAGCATTGCTGATTTATAAAATATAAATCTCTTTTGATAAAGAAAACTTAACAGAATGAAGAAGATATTTGTTTATCAATGGATAAACAACTAATATTCCATTTGATTTCATTGTATTCAACAGGACGAATAATCATAACATGCATGATATATCAACGTAGCTATAACAAATGTTACTGATGATTGTAAATTACTTCGGCAATCTGTACACCATACACATCATGTTTTAACAGTTAATGGCTCCTGGAGTGTTTGGAGTGCATTTAGTCAATGTTCACGTACGTGTGGCTATGGACTGAAAACCAGAAGGAGGACTTGCTCAAACCCTGCGCCTGCGCATGGAGGTGCTTACTGTCCGGGATTGAGAGTTGACTCCAGCATCTGCTCGGAACAATTATGTCCGGGTACGATATTTTCTTTGATGACCACCTGTGTCAATATGTATGTAAATATCAAGGTGTGTGTATACAGGTACGTCCTCCCATCCTATTGTCTGTCACGTGGTGGGAAAAAGGAAGAGAAAACATTAAGTACATGTCTATTGATGAAAGTTATTACAAACGTATTTTTTTAAATCCCCGAAAAATATGATCTTTATAATAAAACTCAATTTTTCTACATCACATTCCAGTTCTGGATACATGTACCATAATTATCGTGCTGAATTACTCTTTGCTGCAGATGACAACTACAAAACGTCAAGTGAAATAAACCATGCGCGACATTTATGTTGTACGTACATATAATGATGGCCGTTCAAAAATCACATGGATTTGTACCAAAGAAAAAAACATTTGTCGACAAAAAAAAAAAAAAAAAAAAAAAAAAACAACAACAACAAAACACTGAAAAGTCTTACATATTACTTGACTTATAATATCATCAAAATTTCGTTTTCAAAATATTAATTGATATCAATTATCATGATGTTATGGCAGAGTTAGCATAAAATATCCGACATCACGGGCTTCATGAAATATCCTCAAGGTATTCACCATTGTGTTTGTTACATGATCCACTCATCAGAAGCATCCTTACCAACTAATCCAAAGAACTGCGAACGATAGTGTTGTTCTCCCGCCTACCTCAAAGTCAATTTTCAGAAGTTAATACATTTGAATGATTTTTCATACCTATATAGATATTTATATGAATTTTTATAAAACATTACTTCTTTGGGAAAACAAAGAGATATAACTCTATAATTTTGGTAAAACTTGTGTTTTTCACTATAGAAATCAACGGAAAATATTTTTAAAACATCCCCCCTCCCCGTCAAACAAAAATTCCATACCAAAGCTTTTTGTGTTTCACGGGGGGGAATATATGTTTACAGACAAAAAACCCACAAAAACGCTTATTTTTTCAACAATTTCAAAGGGGTTTACAACTAAAACATTGTATTTTATTAATAATATATGTTTAATTTTATATGAGTAAAACATAAGAAAAGATTTAAGGAACGGTTATTCATATCCAAGAATATTTTAAAATGTGGTGATGCTTTAAAGCCCGATTTCAATGAAAAATATCGTCTACCCCCCCTTATTTAAAGAGCTGGAATTAGGGGTAAATAAGTATTTAACACTGGTATGAAAATTATCAGTCAATTACCATTGAACTGTTCTTTGCATTCAACAAAGATTTTATTGCCAAATTGCCATTGGTATTGAATTAAATGGGTGTAAAATGTAGGCGGGAATCGAAAGTTAGCGTGCGTAGTTCTTTGGATATTATCTGAAAAGGTCCACAGGTATTTCTGCTCGCATTCTTATCTGTCGGGACCACGTTTTGTCCGTGATCTTCTTTTGTCTCCTTCACGGAATGTCTTTACGGATGTCCTCCCGTCAGAAAATCTCTTATGCTATTTCTAAACAGAAATGTTCGCCATGCCACTGGTTTAATACCCGTTTCATCAAGCACATCTCTGGTCTGTGTTTGCATTTTTCCTGACCATACGCAAATTGTTAAAAGAATGCCGCTCCGTCAAATCACTTGACATCATTTTCTCAGTTCTTTTTAGAGGGACCACATCGCAGAAAATTACAATACTTCCGTTCAAATATGACGCAAAAGATTTAAATCCATAATTTGTAACAATACAAAGAATCTGCAGTGAAAATTGTCGAATTTAATTTTGATTATAGTATGAATGAATAAAAGTTGATTCTATAAGTTCATTTCTCAGAATTGTTCTTTTGATATGCATACCAACATCACCAATATCAAAATAGCAATATTTTCAGGTTATATCCATTAATTTTAAAAATGATACGAAAATTTTATTGGAATCTTAAGCTTAAGGGAAAAGGTTTCTATAAATATTTCAAATTGCCATTTGATGTTATAAAAGCATGTGTGTCCGCAAAATTTTGAAACAAACCTTATTTGATAATAAAAGTCCATTTTCATTTTCTAGTCAATGGAGGATGGAGTAAATGGAGTAGTTTTAGCAATTGCTCAACGTCATGTGGAAGGGGAACGATGACAAGAACTAGAACGTGTTCGAACCCTTCACCTGCACACAATGGCGCAGATTGTGTAGGTCATTCAATCGAGTCTCATGCATGCAATGATCACTTGTGTCCGGGTAAGGAATGATCTATCTTTTGTTAATAAATACTTTATTTAAAAATTAAAAATATAAAAATATTATATTTTAAAATAATTTATCAATATTGGTTTAAAAATAATGCATCCAGCTGTCAATCATAAAAACCTGCAAATTGTTTAAACATTGACTCTAGTGGATTTAAATTAATTTTATCCAATAATTGTTATCAAGAGAAATAGTATTTTAAAAGCAACATTTGACATATAGATAAAACATAATTTACATGTACAAAGTGGATGGAGAATGGAGCAGTTGGAGTACATTCAGTCAATGTACAGCATCTTGTGGCGGAGGGACACAAGTTCGAACACGTACATGTACTCATCCAAGACCTTTACATGGTGGGGCCACATGTACAGGTTTTGCGAATGAAACACAGAAATGCTCAGAAAACAGTTGTCCAGGTGAAAACTAACATAATGAAATAATCTTAAAAGATGATACAATTGTTCAGATATTTAAATGATGCATGTAGTTGTTTATTTAATTTTTTTACAGGTGAATCCTGTGAAAACATGCATACATTTTGAAAAAAAAAATGAGCTACATTAAAACTGTATATATAATAATAAAAATAATAAAATGTCCATTTTCATTTTCTAGTCAATGGAGGATGGAGTAAATGGAGTAGTTTTAGCAATTGCTCAACGTCATGTGGAAGGGGAACGATGACAAGAACTAGAACGTGTTCGAACCCTTCACCTGCACACAATGGCGCAGATTGTGTAGGTCATTCAACCGAGTCTCATGCATGCAATGATCACTTGTGTCCAGGTAAGAAATAAATCATCCATTGTTAAAATAATATATCAATATTGGATGTGAAAACATTTGAATATATAGACGATATTCAATGTTTTGTAGTTGGATATGGAATTTATTTCACGAGTGGGACAGGATTTTCAATATTTTCACGAGTACGAAGCACGAGTGAAAATATCAAAAATCCTGTCTCACGAGTGAAAAAAATTCTATATCCAACTACAAAACATTGAATTTTCTGTTTATTACATTTTCTTTGATTTTTCTTTTTGCCTCTCTCTTTTCTTAACACAGTGTCATAGGGTGTGGCGTCATAGCTGTAGCAGTTAAGAAGTCATAGCTTGGCAGTTGTGAGATTGAAAACATTGTAACAGATTTTAGCAACATATTTCGGAATAAATTGGCAGTTTTAATCTCTGTCAAGATGGTTTAGTTTCTATCTCAATCTTGTTACAGGCCAAAAATTATATTTTACTTACTTCGATATCCTTTCCCACTGTGACAGAATATCACTTTGGTATCCTTTCACACTGTGAGAGGATATCACTTTTATTCAATGAATAAATCACAGTATTTCACTGTTGAAAATGTAATAAACATGAATATTTCATTGCAAACTATTACAATTTAGGAAAAGATTTTTTCCAAAAATTATAGAACAGTTTTTTTTATTTATTCTTTTAGGGAGTGTTATGGCAATTTTGGAAATTTATATTCAAAACCAATAAATTATACTGAGTAGGAAAAATTTATTTCATATAATGATGAAATTTGGCTTATACTTAATGCAAAGTGGATGGAGGATGGAGCAGTTGGAATACATTCAGTCAATGTACATTATCTTGTGGCGGAGGGACACAGATTCGAACACGTACATGTACTCATCCAAGACCTTTACATGGTGGGGCTAATTGTAAAGGTTCCGCTAATGAAACACAAAAATGCTCAGAAAACGGTTGTCCAGGTAAAAGGAGATTTATTTGATATTACCTTATTTAGAAATGATGAGAACGTGTATTTATATTTTTTCATAGCTTTGAATCCAGATGTTAACATTTTCATAAATTATGACAAGAAAAATAATGCATGAGTTATATTAAACTATTAAATCTTACAGTTCATTTTTTTTTAACTATTTGAAAGGTTGATTACTGATTTTATCAAATTAAGCATAGTACAGTCGAAAATTTAAAAATATCTTAAAAAGTCCTTTGGTTATACATTTTATAATGAATATTTGACACTTCAAAATATAACTTTAAATAAACAACTACATTTATTGCCTTTCGTTTTAGGTTTTGAAAGACCAAAACAATCGAATTTGCTATCCACAGCTTCAAAACAAAAACCTAGAGAAACTAAACTAGAGACATTATGAGATATTATTGTGAATTTATTTAACGCAATTGTGAGACATAACTTCACAAACATACCCACAATATAGTGTTCCCAGAAATTATTGAGAATTTTTCATGATACATTTATCTAAAATTTTTGATTAATAACATACAATATGATTTAATGTTACAATTTTTATTTACTGACAATACCCCGTACTTTCTAAAGATACATGCAGTTTTCATGGATAGCCTCCCGTTTGTGTTATTTACATCCTGTTGTCTGCTGATGCTATTGAAATAGAAAGCCTATTTAAGCTGTGTATTATAGTAAGGGATTGTAAAATCTGGTGATATTTCTGAAATGCCGAGAATTTTGCCGTCTACTATGTATTGTGTGGTACAAAATATTAAAAAAAGAAGAGTAATTCGGTTAAGGAAAACTGTTTGTAAGCCTCGTAATCTAACATCCACAACTCAAAGAAAGCTCGGATATATGCTCATAAAGAAAATACAAAATGTAGAAAAATGGGGTTTCATTCTCAGTTCTACCGGCCCTTTCCCTCTGCCGAATCCTTTCCATTTTTCAATATTTTTCCCACGTGAAACAATAGTAGATAGTTGCATACTCAGTCTTTCAGAAGTATCGCTAGTTTTGCAATTCTATCATAATAAACCTCTTCAAAAGGATTTTTTTCGAAGGTAAGAAAAAGAAAAAGAACTTAAGAAAATGGTAAGTTCTTCATAAAAATTACACATACATTGTAATATAAGAAAGTAACAATTATTGTCATTTGACCATAAAAACTGATTTCAAATTTAAATATTTTATTTTTGAAATATTTGGGGGAAAAACATTTCACTAAAAAATTCTCAATAATTTCTTGAAACACTATAAAAGTACAGTTGTTAACTTATTAACCTAAATTTAAAATATACATGTTTGGTCAATATATGGGTATGCTTGATCTACATGTACAATGTTACAAGAATATAACGCGTAGTTTACAGGTTTACCCCATGATGAATGTATAAGGAATGTATATCAATGTTTAGGAACAGAGGTGGACTTCAACTAACGAATAACATGATTTTTATTTAGATAATTTGTGCAATTTACTCTATCATGTGAGCAATTTACGTAAGAGTTTAAATATAAATAAATAATATTTCTGTTTCCTTTGAGTGAATGGTCAATGGAGTACATGGGGTCAATATAGTGCATGTACCAAAACATGTGGAAATGGCTCTAAAACAAGGCAAAGGTTATGTTCGAGTCCGGCTCCACTAAATGGTGGAAACCCTTGTTATGGCAATAATTCAGAGACTGATCAATGTAACAACATACTATGTCCTGGTAATTTGATCCATATCGCTAATGTGAGGATTTCTGAATTTCCTGAAAGTATTAATTGCATCATTATCAGTATTTAAGTATAAAAAAAGTAACGAAAATTTTGAATTCCTTGAGCAATATGATTTTAACATATGCTTACCTGGGTTATTGATCTCTGACTAAAAGATTTTTTAAAAGTCGTAGAAGTAAAAGAAAAAGATTTCAGAATCTTGAAATCAATGTTCTCGAAATTATTTATAGTGGATGGTGGTTGGAGTACTTGGACTGATTACAGGAGTTGTTCTGTAACATGTGGCGTAGGAATACAAAAAAGGGAGAGAACCTGTACAGAACCTACACCTGCACATGGTGGTACAGATTGTGTTGGGCAATCAACAGAAGTACAAAATTGTACCAAAATTGATTGCCCAGGTACGTTAAATTTTATAAAGTTTTCTTTCACTTTCATGGACGCTCCCTTCACTTGCGTCCACAGCATAAGCCAAAATTTGTCATCACATTAGTCATGTGTTAGTCGAAACGTCTGAAAAGAGCTAAAAATAATCAATTAAATATAACTTGTAAACAGCCACAGTTTTTGTCTTAACATGTATAATTATGTTTAATTAGATTTCTAAAATTTAAAAAATATCAATTTTAAGTGAACGGTCATTGGAGCGAGTGGAGTTTATTTAGTGAGTGTAGCAAAACGTGTGGAAAAGGGTCTCAAAGACGTCAAAGGACTTGTACAAACCCAGCGCCGTCTAATGGCGGATTGGTCTGTGTCGGAGATGGTCACGAAACTGTAGATTGTGAAATAAAAGCATGTCCAGGTAATATAGAAAGAAAAAAAGAAAAGAAACGTTTATTTGCTTTATTTATACTGAATTAACTTTCTATTTTTTTTTCTTTTTTTAATAGTAATCATGTGCTATACTTTTAAACTTGCCAAAACCAATCGGCCTTTTCTTCTCAAAAGGCGATCCAAAAATAATTTTGTCACGCAGATCTTCTGTTATTATATATACATTTTAGATTTATTTCATAGATTAAACACAAGCACTTTCATTTTACATTAATTTTTAAACGTAAATAACAGAAAATGCAGGAAATTTTAGTGAATGAGTTTTCTTTTTTGACATTCTTGCTACGTCCTGTTTGTGATTCTAAATTTCTTTTCTTTGCAGTGACTTTAAATTGGGTAACACTGCCAACTAATCAATTGGTAACGCTTGGAAAACGGGTAAGCTGACTTTAGTAGGTATATCAATGAAATAGAAATCACATATGAATGAAAATTGTGTTGCGTCATGATATTAAGATAGAATCAATAGTTTTATTACTTGTAAATTCTGAAAAAAAATGTGTACTAGTATAGATGCATTGATTGATAACATGGGAATAACGTACAATAACACGTAGTAATTTACAAGTTGATGTGAAGATTGATTGATTGCATGTCCATTCGAGAATTTTTCACTCATATAGAGATGTCAAATATGCCGGTGAAGGGCTTCAAATTTAGACCTATAGTCGGCACTCAGGGCCATTGAGCAGGGTCATTGAGGGCTCTTTATCGTGCCAACGCCTACCGTGACACGGGACCTCGATTTTTAAGGTCTCGTCCGAAGGACCCGTCACTTTCACTTCTAGTGCCGGGTGCTTGGTGAAAGAACAGTCACTACATGTACCTATGTTTACGTTTTAAGTTTGACGCGGCGCGGCGAACGAGAATCGAACCCGGGCCTCCCAATCAAGAAGCGAGCGTCCTACTAATAGGCTACCGTGACCGGTTGTTATGTGAAAAAAAAAGAAACAAGAAAACTTTTGTTTACTATTTATTGTGAACTTTCACAGAAATAAAGACTAGAAATAAAAATTTTGTTACAGTAAAATGTTATTTTCTTAATCAAGATGGTGAAAACAAAAACAAAACGAAATTGTTTTCTAGAAATGAAATTTGTCTAATTGTGGTAAAATGATAGATGATAGTTTCTTACTCATTTTCTAAAGTTTATTCAGCATTGACTTTGATTTCGATTTTTGAGGAAATATGATATTGAACATTTTATTTTCAGGGAAAAAGAAATATACGTCATTAGAATGGAAAGTCAGACGTCTTTTCTAACAAGGGAATAAAGAAATTTAATATTTTCAATAGATTGTTTTCACTGAAATAATTCAAAGGCGGTTAAACATGAAATCTGATTTATGTTTTGACGATTTCCCATGTACAATTTTCATATGACAGTGAATAAACATTGTTTTAAAAAACAATTTGCCAACTGCGAATCACTATTACCAAAGATTTGTCACATCTAACAGAAATCTCACTAAGTAAGTGGTAGTCAAAACATGTACTTAACCAGTTTAAAATACGTCGTATCTAAATCATAAAATCCCTGCCATATTGACTTTGGTATCTTAAAATGATTCGTTCTATTAAAAGAGCAGACATACACCATTATACACCTTTATAAAATAAAACTATAACCATATACACATCCACAAATGTATTCGTGACAAGAAATATATAAAAAATGTATTGCACAACAGATGGACAACGACAATAAATTAGTATTTTAAAAAAGAAAGACATTTCCGAAGAGTATGTTTTTTAAAAAGGGTAGGGGGAGTTAAAAGAAAATTGATTTTCTGCCGGTGTAGTAAAGCACAGAATCCCCTTTTGCAGAAATTTGTATTCTGTTGAGCTCCACTTCTTTTTTATCTAGTCAAGATGCTAACTTATACTTGTAGAATGTTGCTGTAAGAAAAAAAAATAAATTATTATTTCTATTATTACCTTATTATTATCTTAGCAATTTGCCCATTTTCTTCTTTTTCTTCAATCAGAAATTCATATTGAGTTGTATCATATAGAAGAAATAAATTACCCTTTTCAAAGTGACCCACAAATTGCGCGGCAATGTTACAAAGGAACGTTGTGTAGTTTTAGCTAAAAACATCAAAAATATATTGATACAAAGGAGATTATAAATGATTCCTTATTAAGTCAACTTGGAACAACCATGATTAGCTTAACACGACCAAGATCACATCTTGGGATGGTCATGAATAAGACCAATAAAATAATTACATTAAACATATGGGGGTGGCTTGAAATACAAATTAACCCAAGATTTTAACACTCGAAACGATAGAAAACTTAGGGAACAAACATGATGATGGAGTCCTAGATGGCAACAATATTTTCCCTGTCCAAGCAGGCTATCTTAGAAGTTAAAAGTGTTGTGATCATTGACACAAAACCAATAACAGTACATGCATATATAGCAGCAACAAAACGTTTTACTTGAACACTGTCATGTAAATGTATATATAACTTTTGTCAATTTTTCCAAACCGGTACTTCATTGTATTTTTTCCCGTTCTTTTTCCTCGCATTTTTTTAAAAATGTTTGTTTAATTAATGTTATGCAGTGTATTTACCTTGACCTTGCTGTAGGGAGAGGGCTAAAATAGGCTATGCTGCTGCCTAATCCCATTCACTTTATGTGAATGAAATTATGTGTAAATAAAAAAAAAAACAAATAGCAGACCCTAGTGGAAAGTTAGGACAATATGGATGTCCGCAGATTCCCGAACATATTTGAAAATCTTAAAGACAAGCAACGTAGAAAATTACTCTGACACTTCCATAACTTGATAAAGTAGATCGTCCAATTTTTGTGTTGCAAAAATCATCCATTCATTATGCGTATTCCTCAAGTAAAATTTTTAGATCTGCCCCTGTCATATCCAAAAATTACCGTTCAATTCAAATTCTGTACAAAAAAAATTCAATTATCATTAGAGAGCATATTAGATACCTGGACATGGGTGTCCGTTACACGTGGTCGTTTCCACTGAAGCGCCGAGACAAAACTGCCCACCATTTGCAGGAATAGGGTTACTACAGGTCCTGTATCTAATCCGAATTCCTCCACCGCAAGATTTCGAGCACCCCAGCATTTCTTTCCAGCTACTCCAACCGCCATCGACTGAAATAAGTAATTAAATATACCGAATTTAGTTTCCTAGCATTTGCAATTGCAAGCTACAGATTTTAATAAAAACTGGTAATGTTTCTGCTATTCAGCCTTACCTTGAATTTTATCACACGGAATGATGTTGCAGTCTTGACTTTCAATCTGTTTATCTAGACATTTATTGGTTTTAGTAACTATTCCTGTACAGTTAATTTGACGAGTTCTTGACTGAGTTCCTTGTCCACAGGTACTAGAGCACTGACTAAACTCTGACCAAGTTGTCCATTCAGGTGTCTCGTCTATTGCAAGAAAATTGTAGTATATATGAAATGGCATTAATATATCATTAATAAACCCCAACAAAATTTACTATAGTTAATTATGCATGTAGTTTACTATAGTTAGCTATAGAGAATACTTAAATACTTTGATTTATTATGAAATTTTACCCTAGAACTTTTTTTTAGATTCAGGGCCTTAATACACGTAATGTACTATGGGGTAATCAAAAAGTTCAAGGACTGATGCGATAAAATTAATACTTTATAGGCTGTGCTTACAAACTTTATAAGGAATATAAAACAACAAAATCCCGAGAAGTGGAAATTTTTAGCTTGATTAGTTGATAATGAACCTATTAATCGTCAAACAAAATGGACATTACATGATCACCAGGCGCTGTCGCCGTTTTTTATGATGTTTGAAACGACATTGCTTCTCTATGTGAGCTCCTTCTGTTTCAATACACTTTCTTGAAGAGATACCCCAGTGTAAATACTGATTGAAACTCATCTCGTTAATATATGGCTTTAAATTTTATGAACAGTCGATTTCAAAACATAATATTCTAAATTGGACAAAGATCCTCAGTTGACGAGCAGCTTTATCCGCCATTGGAGTTCAATTTCTACCACACGCGGGCAAAGTTACTCTTGACTTAACTGACTTGGAACATTCGGACCGCGAATTAGCATGAAAAATATCTCTCCTCTCTTTGAATCTTGTGTGCCGTTGTAAATAGGTTATCTGGACTAATTTTGCCTCTCTCCAGCCTGTTCTTACATTTCTAAAATCTATGTGAATTATTAGTCCCCTACCGGTGAAACCGGAGGGGACTATAGGTTTCCTCTGAGTCTGTCCGTCCGTCTGTTCGTCTGTCTGTCTGTTAGTCTGTCCCACTTGGTTTTCCGCACTTTTTCCTAAACGCTTGCAGATATTGAGCTGATTTTTGGTATGTGAGTGTATCTTGATGAGTTACAGATCAAGTTTGCATTTCGTTCCGCTTCATTAAATTTTGACGGAATTACGGCCTTTTCAATTTTTACGGGTTTTCTGCAATTTTCTTCTGAACGCTTGTAGATAATGAGCTGATTTTTGGTATGTGGCTTTACCTTGATTAGTTATAGATCAAGTTTGCATTTCGTCCCGCTTCATTAATTTTTGACGGAATTATGGTTTTTTCAATTCTTAACGGGAACCAGATTACACTTGCCGGTAGGGGACTAGTATTGCTAATGCAATACTCTCAGAATGCTTGTTTTTTAAAGTGGAACTATAGATTTCCAGTATCATTTTTGAATCACTTAGCTTTTCTTTTAAACTTACAATTAGACCTTTAGAAAAATGACAATATGAGGTAAAAATTTATGATAAACGTGATGACCTCAACTTTTCTATTTTCAACTTCCCTTATTTAGCAATATATATGAAGCAATATACCATTGTCACCTGCATATGGAGTTTATGTCTCCAGGTTTATTTGATACGCAAGAGCATGCTCTGCGTACGAACAATTTGCCAAATATTAATGAAAAAAGAATATCAACAGTCTTGTTTAAAGTCAA